AAAACTTTTTTAAAAACTATTTTTTTGAAAATCTTGATACAAATACACCGAAACCGGTGTTACTATGACACCAAAAAAAAGGGTTATTTTAACACCTTTCCAGATGTTAATTTGACACCGTACAAAGTGGTGTTAAAATAGCAAAAAAGGGTGTTATTTTCTACCTTTTTATTTCACACCATTTTTGGTGTTATTTCCTTCAAATTAACAGTGTACATTACATAATCAACAATTTTGAAAATGTATACTATTGTTTAGGCTAGCTTACGATTGTTTTGTATTTAGTTAAAATTACATAACGTGCAAAATTTTTCTGGAAACTAGGATATATATTCTTATGTGGTTGCTAAAATTGCCAACGCATCGCTTTTGATAGAGACAGTGGTGGTCCTATTGTTGATATGTTCCTATGGTAGTATTTCCGTGGTTGGTGGTCCCGTGGTTGGTGGTGCTTCACAACCTTCAAGGTCGTGAGCGGACATAAACGGATACGTCTGCTCCAAACCCAGACACCCCAAAGACGTTGGTGTAATATCCCTGATAGCTGCCTGCGAAGTCAGAAACATGTAGTCCTATCCCCAAAGCATATATCGCATCAGGGCAACCTATATAAAAGATAATGATAATTAACAATAAAAATCAGTAAAAGAGGCCATAAAGTGTACTCTTATTTCTATTCGAAATATTTAGAATCGTGCTTTGTACTGTTATAACACACAAGGAGGAAAGCAGTAACTATGTAATTTAAATTTAAGATCCTAATAACTATCATGGTTAGTTACGTCCCGAACGATGTTCATTACAATAATAATAATAATTGCATATATGGTATACTACTACTGCATAACCTTTCCCCGCTTAATATTAATATCCTATTAGCTTTTCAAATTCTTCAACGCCTTTACTTCCTCAACAGAAAGATTACTGAAGTTTCTGCCTCCCGTATTAACAGCAGAAACTTTTTCTTCCAATTTGGAGCAATACACTTCTATAGCCGGATCTGTACCTCACTCGTTAAGTTTGGGACCCGGGCCGTAGCTAGACGCAATAATTAGGGGCGGGGTGTATATACATATATATATATATATATATATATATATATATATATATATATATATATATATATATATATATATATATATATATATATATATATATATATATATATATATATATATGAATATATGAATATCCACCCACCCCCCATATATTCATATATTCGTGTCCGTGTATATTCATATATTCGTGTTTTGCCCGACGGATTTCTTTTGAAAGCGATTATTTTTACGGTATGTGAACATACCAAATATATATGAATATACACACCCCTATTATCGGTCTAGCTACAGCCTGTTTAGGACAAAAAGATTACTGTATTGAGGCATATAGGCACCTTAACGATTTATAATGGTAATTGAACTGAGTAGAGTGCCAATTTGGACTGAAATCAAACGCGTGATTAAAAAATGCGGGAGTGCGATTTGTAATCTTGTGTTTGATTTCAGTCCAAAATAGCACGTCACGAAGTTCAATTTCCGATTTATTATATTGAGTTTGAAATCAGAAATATTTTAATAAACCGGAAACGTTTTTGTTTGCAAAAGACACACCTCCGGTACCTCCCCGAGTGCTGTAGCATGGCAACAATAAGCAAACAAGATAAACTCAGTTTTGTTAAATTGCAGTTTATTAATAATACGTTCAAAATACTGCAAAATATTAAAGAAATGAAGACATTTATAAAGAACAAGAGACAACATAAGCAAGTTTTAACATATTGTAGGTTTCACGAGGGATTTGAAAGAGTTTTGGTGCAGTTTTGTGCGTTTAAAATTGGAAATACGACAGACGAATTTACTTTTGTTCTCCCTGACGCTTTAAATTTGCTTTTGTTGGCATTTTTGCCATATATATATATATATATATATATATATATATATATATATATATATATATATATATATATATATATATATATATTATTATTAATGGTTTATTATAAAAATCGTCGCGCTCGATGAAAGCGAATTGCGAAATTATTTACAAACTTTAGTTAAAAGTATTAAAAAGTACCTTGTGTTACTGGCATTATATTACAACAATAGTTTACTGATCTATGAATTAATATCGAAAGAACTTCTAAATTTACAAAATTTACAAAATTTATAAATTATGTGATTGAATACACATAGTAGGAAAAAAGCTTTTCTTAAAGCGCTCCGTCTTACAAGGAAACAGTGTTAATCTATTTCCGTACCTTAAATTACAATTGTGTCCATTGGCCCGAGAAGGTGGTATTAAATGGTTAAGGCGTGAATCAGGCTGTCAGATTTTGTCAAAAGTTTTTATGCACAAACCATCACGTCTTGCGCGTAATGTCGAACATTTAGCTTGGTCCAGAGCAGCATCATAGCTTAATGTGGGGTAGATTATTCGCATTGTGCGCTTCTGGACCCGTTCAATTTTATCTGACAAGTTAATGGTCAACGATGAATGCCATACCGGACAGCAGTACTCAAGCAGGGATCTAATAAGTGCAAAATGTACTCGTAGTAAATGAAACGGTGAAACTCCACTGCGCTTGAGAACTCGTAAGATGTGTAGTCTTTTTGATGCTTTGGTTACTATCTCACTGATATGCAAATCCCACTTCAGATTATTCTGGATCGTAAAACCTAATACTTTGTGGGATTCTATTCTTTCAAGACTAATGGTTTCAACAACTAAGGTGGGTGGTGGCTGCTCAATATCTCGTCGAAAGGAGACAATCATCTCTTTACACTTTTTTGGGTTCAATTTCATATTATTGGTACTTGTCCAATTACCAATTGCGTCCAATTCGTTTTGTAGTATAGATACCTCCCTTGTTGGAACAATCTCAGATATCGTCACGTCGTCTACGTACTTCCAATTACTGGAACGCGGGGATACTATTTTCAAATCGTTAATCATTATGACAAAAAGGATTGGACCCAATTTGGTACCCTGTGGGACCCCAGCACTAGTTGAAAGCCATCGGGACACGCACTGTCCCAGCTTAACACACTGGCGGCGATTTGAAAGGAAGCTACAAATCCAAGGGATTATTGAACGGCGCACTCCCAAATCGATCAATTTTGTTATAACAATATTGTGGTCTATTCTATATATATATATATATATATATATATATATATATATATATATATATATATATATATATATATATAAACAGTTTTATTTTCCGTTACAGATAAAAGCTAGAGTACTAAATACTGCAAATTATTTAGCAGAGCGAATTAATTTGTTATCTTAAAATGTTTCAATTTCTCGCTACTTTAAGTTCCATGCCACTATTTGTGCAAGGCAATCTTCAGGCGATTAACTAGATTCAGTTCGTTATAATGGCGTGATCTATAGTTTGCTGACGTGCACCGTCATTGTTCGCACGCGCGTTCAAAATTTCCCGCCCAAAATTTTTAGGGTGCAATCTTTTACATATCAACTATTTTGGGGTGTAATCTTTATTATTACTCTTTAGCCCCCAGATGTACTTTGACAGCTCTGTATCGTTTTTATATCTTTGACGTTTGAACGATTTCTTATGATTTCCATATCGTTCTTTGAAAGAAGTCGCCGTCATTCCTATATACTCTTTTATGACACCGTCGTCAGGTGATGTAACTTGGGCCTTGTAGACAATGTTTTTAGATTCACAGTTCTTCTTAATAGGGCATTCACTCGGGTTATTACAGTTGCAATTATCTGATGTTGGTGGGGTAGTTGTGGGTTTTGACAGGATGCAATTGTTGTGGCGAGATATAACGCTCTTTACGTACATTAGGCATGCAGCTATAGCTAACTTTGACTGTGTTACGGTTGAATATTTTGTGCAAAGGACTTGTAGGTGGGAAGTGTTTATCGAGAAGCTGTAGGAAATTCCGCGCGATGTTGGTTTTAACGGATTTACTGAACGGGGGGTTGAACCAGGTAATGTTTCTTTGGCGCCTTCGTTTCGTAGATGGTGGGGAATAAGGACTGTTGGGTGAATATTCCAAAGAAACATTGTAATTGCTGTGTTTAAGTGCGCATTCGTAGAAAGGTTTGCATTCATCGAAGGATTGTTGGTCAGATGAAAGGGAAGAGATTCGCTTGTTAATTGAGACAGGAATTTGCTTTAAAATGGATGGTGGATGGTTAGATCGGCTGTCAACGTAAAGTGGTTGGTTGTTTGGCTTTCTGTACGGTGCAAATTTTTCATTTTCCAAATTTAGCGTAATATCCAGAAAGTTGACAACTTGATTGTTAACCTGAGCAGTTATCTTCAAATCAATTTGACCGAATATGTCATGTAACATCTTTCTTGCTTTGTCCGCCTTTCTTCCGTTAACGCCTTCAATTAATGCAAGGCCATCGTCGCGGTATAGCCCAACATTTTCTTTACCAAACTTCTCCGCGAGCTTACTCAG